CACAGACCCTCAAAGGTCAAAGGTCACAGCTGTATCCGCGACCTCATGTCCGAGTTTCTACTGACGCTAAAGAAGAAACCGCACACCCACATGTTCACCATGACGTCACTGATCGTTTCACCTTCAACTCCCAAAAATCAAACGAGGAGCTCGAGGACCGATTTCACTCTGCTCCAATAGAACGATCAGCTGGCAGGTTTACAAACATCTGTAAACAACGTTGAATAAATGTACCTGAACACGGCACAGCTGCCAAATTAAGACACGCCTTTAACTTTACCGTCTACAGCATATGTGTCAAACATTTGGCCCGCAAAGCCATACCAAATTACTGTTAGAGTTGACCTACTGGTATTTTACAGCTAATATATATATTTTTTAGTATTAAGCTTTGCTTGTTCCATATTCAGTTTTTTGAGCAAAACTTGTTTGAGTCCATAAGAAAAGATTCATTCTGATAATTGGAGGAAGATTTTTTTTTTTTCAATAAATATTAATGTTAGCTGGAACTTTGTTCCAGATTTGAATTTTGACCCACTGTGTATTTGAGTTTGACACTCCTGCTCTAAAGCGTCACTGCTTTAGCTTTGTCGCTAACGCAAAGGGAAACAAAGCAGCTGAAGAGACGCGGTTTCAGGTTTCATCTTGTCCATCAGGTGTTTGTTTTACCGCTGATGGCTCCGCCTCTTTGCTCCACATTAAAACTACGATAGCATCGTCCTCGCTGCTGTTGAGTTTCAGCTCCGACTCAGTCTGGCGACACGTTTCTATTGTGGTTCTATTGTTCTCACAAATGCTGTTGAGCGTAACCAGCGTCGCCTTCAGGCTGTTTTTCACTCCACAGCAGCCTCTTCATGATTTCATGATGGGCCCACTTGGCGTTTGATTCAAAGGTGAACTTGTAACTGGTTTTAGTGGAAACATCATCACTGGTCTGAACGAGCCAGCAGCTGGCCAATCACATGCAGACATTTTTACCAGTGCTGCGTATTAGACGTCAGACGCCTCATTGCGATGCTACGTGCTGCTGGGGAACTACAGCATCAACAAGCTAACGTTAACTAGCACCAGCGCTCCCCGACAGCAGCAGCACAATCTGCCCATGAACGCCACAGCAGCTCCACTCGTTAGTTTCAGCTCGAGAAACAAACAGCTTTTAAAAGAGTGGATCGTCTGTTTATTCATCTACTAAGAATGAAAATACACAAAATAAAACCTCTGTAAACTGTTCAGACACAACCCGTAAATGTGTGTGTGACAGAAATGTAAAAAAAAAGCCATGATCTTTTTTCTGTTTCCTGTTTCAGTCAAAGATTTTCTTCCACGTCTACATTTAATTCAGCACCCCTGCGTGCACCGTGAAGGCCTGCTGCGTGCACATGAAACACCACAGAGGTCACAGCGGCGGCCCTCACCGCTGTGACCTCCGTTATGCAACAGCAGGACCTCGTGAAGCTGCTGGCAGGAAGCGCCGCTGCGTTTCCAAGAGGCTTAATTGTTGTGCCGCAGCAGCAGAACCCGGAGCCCATGGAAAACCAACAGCTGCTAAAATTAGCCCCGCACATCGATCGCATCGATCCGCCAGCCCTACTTCTGCGGCTCCGCTCGCCGGAAAGCTGCTGACAGCGAGGCTTAATGACTCCCAAAAGACACGAAACTGGTTTAACAAATGCAGCGACACACAGAGAGGGCAGAGGTTACGATTTCATCTATCAGACAGCGATAGACATCAACAACAACCAATCAGACGCCCATCAATCGATTTATTGACCAATCAGGTTTCCAAGCTGATGTTTGAGCCCGATGAACTCACACCGCTGACATCAGTCCTTCAGTATAAATATCAACACAGCTGAGCCTGGAGTTTATAAAATGACACATTAATTAGTATTTTTACAGTTGATGATTTTACCTGATGACACACGACCCTAAACTTATCAGCACAGACTGTATATAAAAGATGGACAGCCTCAAGCTGACCATCTTCACCATCTTGACCTTCAGTCAGTGACATGGTAGCCCCGCCCTGAATATCCCATCATCTTCATCTCCAACACGAGCACCGCGTTTTATTCAACAGGACACAAAACTGAAACCATGAACTCTTAACCAAGGTCAGAGGTCAGAGGTCAGAGGAGTCTCCCCCTGCTGGTTTATTACAGAGAATCTATGTCCTGCTTTCAGTAAATGAGGCACGTGTGTCACTTTAGTCTTCAGTGTACCAGCGAAGCCACACAGATTAAACGACCCCCCACTCGAGCCCCTAGCTGCAGTTTTGTCTGAGCTCCCTGCATCCATAACATTGATCTGAACGTCCGCTGGTGGGAGGAGCCACAGACGCTTTGGACCGAATCGGCGATGAAGCCATAATGTAGCGACGGTGTGACCACAGACCACCACTTAAAGATGGGAGCTTCGAAATGTGCAGCAGATGAATCCCCAACCAAAGCACGTGGCTCACACCATCGCTCATGTATTCGGTCGTAAAAACGGCGAGGTGCTGGAGAGTGTTTAAGTATGGATTTAACCGTGATGGCAGGGTGATGTGGCTGTCACACGTGGACACGCAGTCCATCGATTCTCCATGTAGTAACTCAATCTGACCGACCACAGGTCTCGTTCACACACACTCCTGCTACAACAACCACCAAAACAGCCAGTTCTCCAGTGTGACCTTGAACTCAGCAGGTTTTCGTTTGCTTCATATAAAGACTCGGACACTGAGCGTCTCCTGAAACCTGACTGTAGTTTTTAGTCTCAGTGATTTTACTGAAACTCTACAAACATCAGCACTTGTTGATCTGACTCTGAATCTGTGCGTCCTTTAGAAATGCAATCAGTGGTTAAAGGGGAACAACCTCCACCCGCCCACCCGCCCACCGTCGGCTGCTCGTGTCTGTGGAGCAGCCTTCAGCTTCCTCTCTCCGTTCTAACAAAGCGATCTTTTACTTCTTTAAATGTACGGCGCTCAATCGACAAAGTTTTCGTTCCCGCAGTGGAAAAAGTAAAGATCTCTGAACAGGTCACATGACGTCGCTACCTTGCTGTAAGCGAAGGGCACCCAGGAGATCTCCTTCCTGGCGCTTTTGACTTTGGCCGTACTCTTGGTCGGGCTTTTCTTCACGCTGTCCCGCAGGTTGAGGAACCGACTGCGAGCTCGACAGGACGCTGGCACGGTGCAGGCGGTGAAGGTCGACAGCGACGCCTGGACCTGCGGGTGATTGAACGACTGCTGCTGCT